GGCCAGTCACTTTCTCTCAACCCTAGGAAGCAGGCAAGGGCAAACCACTTCTGTAAAACTTTGCCAAGAAAACTGCAGGGACTTGTCCAAGCAAGCTCTGAGAATCAGACACGGTTGAAAGGAATGATGAATGAATGATATATAAAGATATAATTATTATATTATTATATAATAGAAACACATTATGTTTCTAACAATTTGTAAACCAGCCAGAGTCATTGGGAGTCAAGTGGTATATAAATTTAATAAATAAACATTAAAGCGTTGTCTATGAAGTCTAATTGGTATTATTTGGTAATTGACTGCATTGTATCCAAGTACTATCTTTGCTGTATCCTCCCAGGATGGCAACATCAGCAACTAGATGACTTGAAAACCACATCATAGTATATAGTATATAATATAGTCACATCATAGACACATTAGGTCTCTGAAAGATCCTTCCTTAGTAGTTTATTGAGTGGCATCTGACTGATACTATATCATTATCTAATATACTGGCATTATAACATTTGGACTATATCATCAATCAATTTATATTGTTTCTCCATGACAAAATACAGAAGTGCTTTACCACTGCCTTCTCCCTCTCAGTATGAAATCCCTTTGCTGTTTTTGCTTGAGTGATCTTCCACCTCCAGCATCTTCCTATATTGGTGCTGCTTCATATGGGTGCCTGCTTGCTTTAGCTGGGCAGCTGGGATGTCCTTCACGCTTTCAATGACCCTATTGGGAGTATATACTCCTGACATTCTTTGCTCATCCCTCCCTCATCACAAACACAATGATGAGGCAGCACTTGAGGGAATAACTGGAAATAATGGGGACTAAACTGAGGAAAATACGTCCTACCACCAATGGTGGAGGGAATTCATTTAATACTCAGCTATAGAATACTTCTCGAGTAGAAAGGATGCAGATAAGTGACATACTATTTATCAAAAGCCACACGCCTAAAGAAAGCAATATTTCTTTCAAGAACTGTGGTCTCTGTCAAGTTGCCAGTGAGTTCTATTAAAAGGTAAACACTTGGTTTATTGAAAGCAGACTGGAGAATTCATTTGTTTTAGATATTTGGGTCACAAAATTCTTTATGGAATATATCTAAGCATTTTAACCACTTTATGGAATATATCTAATCATTTAAGATTTTTATATAGCGTTATCTATGGTTGAAAGCTTATTCTGTTTCCTGATTGTTATACAGAATTTATTCATTCAAGAGTAGAATTGTTCCTTACTGCTTTGCCTTAGTATCAAATAATATGCCCCAAACTGAATTGTAAAGCTAATTCACAGGAAAAATTTAAACAAGCAACAAAATAAAATAAAAGTGGCAGGGAAGGAACATTTAAAAGTCTTCTTTGTTACTGAGGAAAATTTAAGCAAGTGCTTAAATTGAAATTTAATCATTGAAATCAGTATGTTTTAGAAAAGCTTAATGTTGGTTGGAGTTTGCCCAATATTTTAACCTAATGCACACAAAACCACAAAAGATCATACTATATTTTATCCTCATTTCTCAGTCATTTCTGTAAAAGTTACTCTGAATCCTAAGGATTCTTAAAAATAATAAATATATGCAATATATTTTAAATTGCCAAAGTGTGCCATGAGGCTATAGATTATAGTGCTGTTGAATACTTTGGTCTCAATTCCAAAAAGATATTTTGGAGCATGTGAATATGGCACCAATCTGAAGCTTTTTAAAACAACTACAACTTGGAACACATTGTGAAACCCCAGGAAAAGCTTTAAAGTGCTGGAGAGAGGCACTATGTTCATGCTGCTGTGTGCTCTGAAGGTCCTCACTGAATCCAAAATGCTGCACCACCCTAATAAATTATATAAACCTTTTATTCAGATGAAACCCAATCTAAACTGGATTGTCAGTACATAGGAAGAAGGTTCTGGGTTTTGCAGATTCAATATGCATGTTGCAACACTTAGCTCCATAAAGTATGCACAGAGATCACTGCTTTCTGTATTAGTTGAAGAAATAATTCTCCATCAGACCCCAATTGGTGACTGAAGATTTGAATTAAGGGACATCATATGCTTAGTGGGAGAGATGACTGTTGCAAATTCATAAATATTCATATGAAAACATGTAGATTAAAATAACTAATGTTTTGTTTTAAATGAATGTATCTCAGCAAATCCAAAGAAAGAATAGGCATATATGAAGAGGGAGTGACAGAATATAGCATCCTGTAACATAAAGGCAAATTGAATCTAATCTATGCATGGGATTACTGACTGGGTAATGTCAGAGAAAAATAAAGTCCCGTGTTTGATCATTCATGTTTGAGCATCCATGTTTGAGCAGAAAGTAACCTTTATGAATATACTCAGTGATTTTTTTACTACATCACTTAGTGATGGCAATCCCTGCAGTCCTGGTTGCCATCATTAACTAAATCCCACAGTTGTTAGGCAAGGCAACTTCCTGCTGGATTCCCACAACCAAAATCAGCAGGGTAGCTGGCAGGAAGTTGCAGGCAGGTAAGTGGGTGCTGCCAGGTGGGGGAGGGAGTGAGGGGGTGTGCAGAGGTGTGGGGGAGGGTTGGGGAGAGGTGCACAAGAGGCGCTGCAGAGGTCAGTCAGAGTTGGGTAGGATGCTCAAGAGGCACTGCACAGATTGCGGAGGGTTGGGGAAAATGCACAAGGATGCACGAGAGGTGCTGTGTGGGTCAGGAAGGGTGCGTGAGAGTATGAGGAGGTGCACAAGAGGCGCCATGCAGGTCAGGGTGGGTGCCTGGGAGTGCCTGAGTGGCTACCGTGGCTCAAGTGCAGAGGGGCTAGGGGAGGATGCATGGGCGGGGGAGACTTACCCCATGACTTGCAACCTTCCCTGTCGGCTTTCCCATTGATTTTCTGGGGAAGCTGGCAGGGAATGTTGCAAATGGCAATCACGTGATCGCAAATTACTTGGCAACCAGTCATAAGTGCAAATAGGTTGCCAAGCACTCAGATCATGATCACATGATCGCAGGAGTGCTGGGATGGCTGGAACTCTGAGGACCAGTCGTAACCACCATTTGCTCAGCACTGTCATAACTTGGAATGGTTGCTGAGTGAATGGTCATAGGTTGAGGATTACCTGTATTCTATTCCAAATCAGCATTATTGTATCAGAGATGAGCATGAACAGCTGGAAGGATGTGAAAAATGAGATCCAGTAATGTATTCCAATAGATGATTTCGTGAAAGACTTAGTATCTTAAGATAACATTCTGAACAATAAAAGAGAGCAATGTCTCCCATCCAAAAAGGGAGTACAATTGTACTAATATTCAGATTTAGACTAACTGAAAAATTGCTAATCAGAGTCCAGGCACCCTTTCAAATAATGTAAGACAAGATAGGAAAAAATCTAGTTAATTCAGCTGTTCATCAATTTACCAATCCACTTTGTCTCCAGTGACGTATCCTAGAATCTTTCCATAACTTCTCATTTCTATAGGTGGAGAATATGACTGGCTATCCACTCTTCTTAACATCTGCACCAATTAGTAAACTCCCTTATAAATGCTACTATTTTAATCATTTTTATCTTAACAATCAGGCAGGAAATTTAGGTTTATTGGTCTGATTTTTCTCTATAACCTATAATGAACAATTGTTAAATAAAGAAAAGTGCCTTGCTGGCATGAATGTTGCATGTATGCACAAGAAAGAGCCAGGGAAGGGAGTGGGAACCACAGTGTTTAGAAGTTTCCAGCATGATAAATGGGTGGGGGGTGGGGAGACAGAACAGAGAGACAAGGCCATACTTCAAGCCAGAAGATTTACTGCAATTCTGCTCAGATATCAGTGATGCTTGCCTACCCTGGCTCTGCAGTGTAATGCATCAAGAGCAGAAGTACTCTTGCAATGCAACCCTCTGGTGGCAAATTATGTTTATCCAAGCATCTACTTATCCAAGTAGGAATGCTATGTGGATGGATGGTTTGAATGGACAAAGTTTGATAAGTGTGATTAAATAAATCTGTTCCATATTCTACTCTGAGTGCTTACTTTCTCCTATACTAAACTAGAACAAAAGAACAGAACACATTTCTAGGAGCACCTATGAGGACATGTATTCCTCCCTGTTTACTTCTACAAGGAAACAATATTGATAAGCTCTGAATATCTCTAAATAGTTTGTGCTGGAATTAGAAGAGTACTAAAGAAGCAACCATCTTGGAACTTTGAATCAAAATACCTATGCAAGTATTATTGAAGCACATTCTATTGTCTTCTACACTTAGTATGCCCACTGGAGATGGAGATCCTGCACTGGCTTAAGGTCATTCAGCCCCAAACCCATGGCTACATTTCCTTCTCACTGTGTCATATCTTTTTCTGAGTCTGGTTTCAGATTCAAGCACATGGGAGAACAACAAATGACTGCTTACTGTCCTATTAACACTGATAGTTTGGGATAAATGTTACCTTAGCTAACATAGTTCCAAAGATGCCTTTTGCGTTGGGTAATACTAATATAAAATAGGATGGATATCATATTAAGATTTCCAAACTACATTGAAAGCCTGCTAAATGCATCTGTGAATGAGTACTGCATGAGCTCTCATAAAATGCAGAAATGAAAGTTGGGAAATTTCCTATTATGGAGAAACATGTTTAGATCTGTAATCTCCATTTTGTAGGCTTTGGACTGAATTTCCAAAAGGAATCCTTGAAACTGTGGCAGGAGAAGATGGCATGATTTTGATTTCTGCCCACATTCAGAATAATTACATGCTAAGTAACAACAATGTCTTGCCATAATACAGTCAGTCAGTGTAACAATGTTCTAGACAACACCTGACATTTCCCCAGTGTGATGTAACAGGCAAGACAGATGACAGACCAATCCTGACACTATATGAGTCAGTCCTATGAAACCTGAAATAAGTAAACAAAAATAGAATTGATGCATTGTAGATCATAGAGGAATAATGGCAAACCTTGGAGAGATGAAGAAAATTGGAAACGAGTTCTAATGTTATTACCATATAAAGTGGAGATGAAGGAGGAACTTGGTGCATATGGACATCTGCCCCTTCCTTTCTCAAATCTGTGAGCTTCTAGATGAAAGAGATGATCCTTTAAAAAGAAGTACAGAAAGTATTAGGAGAGTTACTTGCAGTTAAAAAAAAATCAAAGGTAATAGATGTATCAGTATTATCTATTCAGAACAATTAAATCATACACTCAAGCGTCCATGGTTCACATGCTAAGATGGTGGAGGATCTACTCCCATTGCGTATGTGCTGAAATGTGTTATCCAGATATTTTAAGCAGAGATTTGAATCTCTTCCCTCCATTTCCACCCATGCTCAAAAAGACAATTAGGAAAACCAATTAGGTTAAATAATAATTTATAAAGATTCCCACCACTTTTTAAAATTGTCTCTCTTAGGAAAAAAAATCATTTAGCAGTTAAACACACAATGCTAACTCTCCTTTGCTCATTTTTAAAATGTGCTTTATATACAGGAATAAAGAGAAAAGGCACAAAAAAGGAAAAGAACCAGAAAAAGGGGAAAAGGAAAAAGGAAAAGAAAGGAAAAGGGGGGGAAAAAATGATACATATAAAAAAGCTCAGTCTTTAAATACAGCATTAAACTTTGACCTCACAGAATAAGATTGTTCAATTTTTTTCAGTGTAAAACTAGTTCAAAAGCATGAAATGAAGATGCATCATTAGTCTATAAATCTGGGATGGACTGGACTTTCCCTTGTAACCCATGATTTATTGTAAACTATAGGTTTATTGATCATGGGACATAGACATTCCCTTGTAAATGATCAATACATTTATAGCACTTCATGTTATGATAATTTCCAAATTTCTGGTATGTAATTCAGAATATTATAAATATTAAACCAAAATATCTACATACCGCACAGACTACAGCCAAGGATGATTCTTTCCAAGAAATTCCTAAACTATCTGATCAGCATCCTTTACAAGCAAAAGTTAATCACCAATTTTATCTCTATTCTGGAACTCCAATTACATCAGGACTTAGCTAAAACAAGACAACAAATTTTCATTACAGAACTCATTTCCTTGGGGAAAAAAGAAAGAAAACAAACTCTGCAAGCTTCTATAAGCATCCACTCCTCATAATGGAAGGATTCCACAGACACCACCCACCCCCGTCCAATGCTGTGAACCTACAATCAGCCAAACTAAAGAAACATAAAATATTAAACTCTGTGGGGACCTTGAAACATTTTTTCGCCCTTTGAGAGTCTAGGAATACTTTCAAGAGAAGACGTAAGACAGAGACGTGCAGCCATGGTCAACCCAGTACATCCTGGGATAACACAGAAATGCATTAAAAATACTGAATGGATGCCCTCATATGGTTGTAACAATGAATTGGATTTCTATACTGAATGCTTTTGCCAACAAATTCAAGCCACAATCATTAATTAAAAAACCCATTGCACAACAATCTCAGTAGGGCAAAATGAGATGATATTCAAAGTCCTCAAGAACAATGACATCATAATTAAACAAGCCAATTGAGGAGGAACAGTTGTCAGTATGAATATGGTGAATTATGTCAAGGAAGCCAAGAAGCAACTTTCTGACATCACATTCTACCAACTTCTATCCTCAGATTTCACAGCAAACCATCAGAAAGAACTGTGCAATCTGATGAAAAAGTTTCCAAAGGACATACAAGACCATACCTACATGGAGACACCCCAGGAACCCTGACCAGGTGTCCTCTACCTACTTCTCCAAATGCACAAACCAAGCAACCTGAGCCATTTCATTGTCTCAAACATCGGAACAATCACAACTGGAATATCAAATTTTATGGATTCTGTGCTCAGACCTTAGGCCACCAGCACTCCCACCTACATAAGTGACATCACAAACTTCCTAAGAAGATTGAAATCCACTGGCAATCTCCCTAACAATATTATTTTAACTATCATAGATATTGAGGCATGATACCCAAGCCATCAAGATTATCACTGATGTGAACACAGCATGCTTTGTCATCAGATTATGTAATTTTGTACATACATAGCCATAGGCACATGCATGGCTTCACAATATGCCAACATTTTCATGGCTGACCTAAAACAGCAGTATCTCAACTCTTACCCTTTGAACCTCCTCCTTTACTTGAGATTAATTGATGACATGTTCATCATTTGGACCCATGGAAATGAATCATCTAATTTATCATGATCTCGACAACTTTCATACCACCCTCAACTTCACCCTCGATCTATTTACAGAACAAGACAATTTCTTTGATGTTATGGTAAAACTACACAACAGAAACATAAACACCATGTTATATGGGAAACCTACAGATAGCCATGTACTGTATATCTAAATGCTTCAAGCTTCTATCCAGAACACATCATCAAATCTAGTATCTATAGCTAGACTCTATGCAACAGCTATATTTGTTCTGACCCACTTGATAGAGATGCTCAACTGACAGAATAAAACTAGGCATTTAGGAGACTGAAATACCTACCCGGTGAGATCAATATGCAATTTGATAAAGTCAAATCAATTCCCAGAGAGAACCTATTAAAAGACAAACCACAAAAACAGAACAGCACAACTGGTTGTCACCTACAGTTCAGAGTTTGAGCCACTGAAACACATTATTAATAAGCTACTGTCAGCCTTGTGAGTTGGTCCAGACAAGAAGCACACCCAGAAGTACTAGCTCTGTCTTTACTGTAAGGTTACATTAACAAAATCTTGCAAGTCTGAAAGTACATCTCCCCCCCCCCCCCCCCCCTTTACAGTCCAAGAGACCCAGGGAGGGTCCCTTCTGAGATGTTTGCCACATCCCCATTCCTTCTGTGGGCTCAGCTGCCTCTTATCTGACTGTTGACTAGTCTTCTGCATTTCCTCCTGTCTCCCAAGGTCATTCACACAAATCATTACAGCTACAACCTACCATATTTTTCCATCTATAAGACACTACTTTTTTCTAAAATCGTTACACTAAAAATTGAAGGGTGTCTTTGTCGGGGTGTGCAGCGTACACTCCGTGTAGTGGTGCTCCGTGAGTGAGACAAAATAAGCAGTCCACAGTCCAATATCACAATATCCTATCACTAGCTACAACTATAACCCATGGTGCACTTTGCTATATACAGTGGTTTGTGCTGTGTCATGCTGCCATACCCTACAGGTGTGTGCTCTGGGCAGGTTGCGGGGATTGCAAACACAGTCAAGCTGTCCTCTGTCAAGTCCATATTCTCACTGAGAAATTCTTTACTCCAGGGTAATACCCTGACAGTCTTATGCAAGGAAGTAAGCCGAGGAGAGAACCGCGCGGTTGCGAAAGTGCCCATACTTTGTCTCTGCAAACAGGCTTCCTCCTATCACTAGCCTCCAATCATGAGTGAAATAACTTGATTTTAAAGATAAAGCAGAACACATTTTTATTTAGTAATTAGGTAACATTTACATGATACACTCAGTGGGAGGAGGTCCAAACTGTCTTGCTGCAGCTCTGTTTCCATGCTCTTTTGCATAACTGATTACATTCAATCACGAGTGAAAATATGGCAATAGCTTGTCTCTGCAAACAGACTTCCTCCAATCATGAGCCTTATGTAACTGACGTCAGCTGATGCTGAACAAACCAATTGGAGGTAGTCTGTTTGCAGAGACAAGCTATTGCCATATTTTCACTCGTGATTGAATGTAATCAGTTATGCAAAAGAGCATGGAAACAGAGCTGCAGCAAGACAGTTTGGACCTCCTCCCACTGAGTGTATCATGTAAATGTTACCTAATTACTAAATAAAAATGTGTTCTGCTTTATCTTTAAAAT